AGAGAAGAGAAGAGAAGAGAAGAGAAGAGAAGAGAAGAGAAGAGAAGAGAAGAGAAGAGATGCCTTCACTGGCCCAGGGATATCCTTGGCCTGGGATATCCTCCCCTGCAACCAACAGCACAGCAGGAAACCTTCGGTTACCCTTCAAGGCCTGAGATACCCACACTGGTCTCCTGGCCTCCCCAACCCACTCACTGTCACCCAAACAGGCTACCTCGCTCTGCTCCCTGTGTGATGGTTTGCTAACACCTGCCTGAGGATTCAGCTGTGCCCTGAGAGCGCAGAAAGTTCAAGCCTCACTGGGGTTTCTGGGCACACAGGGGCCTGCTGAAGTGGTTGGGGACCCTCTAGGCTGCCTGGGCAACTTATCTGTACATGTGTAACTGTCTGCTCTCTTCTCTAGCACAACATGCCTTTCTGGAGGATATCCTGCCACGCTGACCTGGAGGCTCTGAGGCACGCCCTGGAACTGGAGTATCTATAGCAGTGCGGCTCGCAGCCACCGCCTGCCACCCACCAGCCAGGCCCCTGTGATCTCACACTATGAGGGCCCTAGACACCAGAAATGAGATAGGGGCTCTATACCCAGGGGACACGTTCCATGGGCATTTCAGAAGTGTCCTCCTCCCTTAGGGACGGAGAGTCGGACTCTTCAATGAAACCCAGAGACCCAAATGAGGGCTCAGCGGTTCTTCTTGTTCTTCTTCTTAATTTATGGACTGCTTCCATTGCTCCCACTACCCACGGGTCCCTGTGTAGTGGTTTCTTGGCTGTTGGTCTGGTTTGGGGGTTCTAAACTGCCTGTGGGGTAGTGAGTGCTCAGTTTTGTGTTTCAGGGACAATCACTCTCTGGGTGTTGGTGAGGGAGGCGGTGTGGAGCTGTGGGGAAGCCTGTTGCTTACCTTTTCTTTTCCAAGCCCCTCCCTGATGTCATGTGGACAGTGTGGGTGCCTTATGCCGCCATCTTGTGTTGTAGGAGAGGGGAGGGGACTCTGGGAAGGAAAGGGTACTCGGCAATGATGGATAAAGGCATTAAATAAAACCACGTTTACATTTTACATCTAAAGAGTGTGGTGACCTTTGCCCATTATTTAGGCTTCCAAGTGTTAGCATTTTCTTTTTCTTTTTTTTTTTTTTTTTTTTTGGTTTTTCGAGACAGGGTTTCTCTGTGTAGCCCTGGCTGTCCTGGAACTCACTCTGTAGACCAGGCTAGCCTCGAACTCTCGAACTCAGAAATCCGCCTGCCTCTGCCTCCCAAGTGCTGGGATTAAAGGCGTGCGCCACCACCGCCCGGCCGTGTTAGCATTTTCAAGTTCCAAATATAATAAAATCCAATTTGAACTTGAACTGGCTTCAGTGAAGTGGAGAGGGGTGTCGAGGGCAGCACACAGTACCTGTATCTCCTGGGCCAAATCTGAGCCATGTTCTCTCCAGGAAGCTAGATTTAGGGCTGTTGTCATTAAAACAAAACACACAGCTCTTACCTCAAAGGACACACAAGACAGTTTGTTCCGCAGCCAAATAGGAGTGACTATGGGCCAGGGGTATACGTTAGGTTACCCTGGGTAACCACGTTCCTGCGTGGTGACAGATTCATGAAGACTTGTCACAACAGATCAAAGACAGTCATCAATTCAGAAATTTTTTTAAAATGCACTGGCAGGAGTACCAGGCGGGTTACAGCAGAGTCAGGCGACCTCTGCCCCCGGCCTCAGATGTTGAGCTTAGCTTTTGGGTTGGTGAAAGCCAATGGTCTGTTAAGTTACCATATTGCGAGAGGTTTCAACTGTTGGTCACAAAGATGGCAGGTCAGACTCAACGGGGCAATCAAGAGATGGCTGTTTAGGAGGCTAAAGATAGCCCAAAAATAGGGCTGGAGAGATGGCTCAGTGGTTAAGAACACTGACTGTTCTTCTAGAAGTTCTGAGTTCAATTCCCAGCAACCACATGGTGGCTCATAACCATCTGCAATGGGATCAGATGCCCACACATATGTATATGTGTACTCATATACATAAAAATAAATCTTTTTTTTTTTAAAAAAAAGCCCAAAATAAATGGTGATTAGGCTCTGGACCTGCAATATCCCAACCCCTTCATGCCCGCTGAAGTCTGTGAGTCAGTCAGTATCACATATGACGTCTTTCCAGGAGCTAGGGCTCACTGGCTGAGCAGCTCATTCTTCCCCAGGAAAGCCACCAGCCACACAAACTAGGAAAAAGCAGTGAGTTGGCTTGTGCTCTCCAGTGGTGCCAGGGACTTAGTTCTGAGGAGGCTAGGAGATAGCTTTGAGGAGGCAGGACGGACCTCAGAGAGATGCGGAGAGCTCTGTGAGCACGTCCCTGCGCAGGACCACGCCCATCTGACCAACGCTAAGAAAGACACACAGACTCCCTCTCTGTGCAGGCAAAACCTGTGATCCCTGGAGCCACACTGAAGTTGACTGTAATGGAGTCTCAGAGTGGAAGATCCATCACCAGAAGACTGTCAGCAAGTGTGGGAGACACTTCCTGACTAGATTCTACATTGCACTACAGAATCTGTCAGTAGACAAAGGAAGGCACTGGTCCTGTAAGGTCACATATGGCATGTATATGACATATATATATATCACTATGACATACATGATCACATATGACATGTGGTACTATGTCATAGCTTCAGCTGTCAACTTGACATAAGCCTGAGTCAGCTGGGAAGAGCCTCAGTGGAAGAACTGACCAGATTAGGATGGTCTGTGGGCGTGTCTGGAGGTGCTTTCTTAATTGCTAATTGACGTAGGAGGGGCCAGCTGGTGGTGGGAGGGGCCATCCCTAGGCAGGTGGGCCTGGCCTTTGTAAGAAAGGTGTCTGAGCAAGCCAGGGAGAGTAAGCCAGTAAGCCAACTTCCTCTGTGGTCTTCACCTCAGTTCCTGTATCCAGGTTCCCGCCTTGACTTCCTTCGGTGACAGATTGTGACCCAGAAGTGTAAGCCATATCCATCCTTTCCCTCCCTAAGTTACTTTAGGCCAGTGCTTTCACACAGCATCAGAAAGCAAGCTAGGACACTTTCTCAGGCACGCGATGGGAATCACCCAAGAGCACACTTCTCAGGCGTCATCCCTAAGTAACAACGAAGCTGGAGATGGTCCGGTGGGTGGTCAGAGGGGTCATGGCCATTGGACAAGCGTATGAATGGATGGATGGTTAGGTACATGGGTCAGGAGGGGGTGCGTATTCCAGTGAATAGATGCTGAGCAGTTGGAGGATGGATCGATGGACGGGCGCCAATGCTGGACGACGAGCTGGGAGGCTGGCGAGATCACAGGTGCATGAATGAACAGACTCATTGGCCAGTGGTTGTACGGTGATACCCATGGATGGATGAGGGGTTTGAAATGCGTATAGAAGAAGGTGAAGGGTGAGGGTTAATAGGCACCCCTGGAAGGAGGGGTAGCCACTTTTGTCCTTGCAGGAACAAAACACACAACACAAATAAACCTAAGGGAGGGAAGGTGTGTTCATGCTCATGGGTAGAAGGTACAGTCCATTGTGGAAAGGAAGGCGTGGCAGCAGGGACATGGGACTCTGGCCACATGGCATCCCCAGTCAGGAAGCAGAGAGACACGGACACTGGTGCCTGGCTCACTGTCTCCTTTCTCTGCAGTGTGGAATCCCATCCTGTGGGTTAGTATTGCCTGTATCTATGCTAATTCTTCTGGCTCTACAGTTACTATTTGCTATTATAAAACACTATAACCGGTCCGGCGGTGGTGGCGCATGCCTTTAATCCCAGCACTTGGGAGGCAGAGGCAGGTGGATTTCTGAGTTCGAGGCCAGCCTGGTCTACAGAGTGAGTTCCAGGACAGCCAGGGCTATACAGAGAAACTCTGTCTGAAAAAACCAAAAACAAACAAACAAAAAAAACCCACCATAACCTTTTTTAAAATGCACATTGGTGTTTTGCCTGCGGGTATGTCTGGATAAGCATGTCAGATCCCCTGGAAAAGGAGTTACCATCAGTTGTGAGCCACCATGTGGTTGCTGGGAATTGAACCAGGGTCCTCTGGAAGAGCAGCCAGTGCTCTTAACCACAGAGCCATCTCTCCAGCCCCATCACAAACTTTTAAAAGTAGCCTGGGGAGGAAAGGATTTATTTCCACTTACAACTCTCAGGCCTCCATCACTGAGGGAAGTCAGAGCAGGAACTCAAGGTGGGAACCTGCCAGCAGGAACTGGAGCAGAGGCCATGGAGGGGTGCTGTTTACTGGCTTGCTTCCCTGTGGTTTTCTCAGCCTGCTTTCTTTTAGCATCCAGGAGCACCAGTTCAGGGAGGCCCCACTCACTGTGAGCGCCAACCTTCCACATCGATCAAGGAAATGCACCACAGTCTTGCCCACAGGTCAACCTCTGGGGGGCATTTTCTCAGCTGAGGTTCCCTCTTTCTAAACAACTCTAGCTTGTGTCACATTCACAAAAAACAAACCAAGACATCTTCCCACCTCAGTTAGCCTAATCTAGAAAGTTCCCCACCGACATGCCCAGACTTGTGTTTCCGTGGTGATTCTGAATGCTATCAAGTTGATGACATTAACCGTCACAGACAAAAGACAGAGGACTGACTGACGGCTGATGGGTGACTGAAAGTAAAGTGATGGTGGATGGTGTACAGATGTGAGCGTGTACACTTGCCGGGTGTACAGACGTGAGCGTGCACACGTGCCGGCCGTACAGACGTAAACGTGTACACGTACTGGGTATACAGATGTCAGAGTACACAGATGCTGGGTATACAGATGGAAGGTGGCTTATGGACCAGACAGATGGGTAACAGAAGGAGAGTGTAAGAAATGCACAGGCAGTGTTGTGGAATGGAGTATGATGGTCAGACAGACAGACAGTGTAGGTATAACTCCTAATATCTTACTATCTGGTCCATTTCTTAACCCTCCACTAGCCTGGGTTTCCCCAGGATGAGTGGAAGGATCTGATTGGCTGAACTGCCTTCCAGTAGGTGTGGACAGAGACCAGAGCCAAGTCACCCTGGAAATCTACATCATGCAGACTCAAGGACTCCTGTGTTCCAAGGGCGTCACACCCTTCTACACACACATCGAAAGCCATTATGACCTAGTCTCATGCTTTTCTGCCACCACCACACCTACACTGAGGGAACTTCTGTTTAGAGAGGAGCAAATTTGGCTAAGAGCACTGGTTGTTCTTCCCAGCACCCACATGGCAGCTCATACCTGTCTGTGACTCCAGTTTCAAGACTCTGTGACACCCTCACATAATATGCAGGCAAAACACCAATGAACATAAAATAAAAAATAAATTATAGAGGGAGTTGAGCAGGAACAAAGCATTTACACACATGAGGTTTTCTTTTGTCTTTCATTAGAAAATCTCTTAGAGGGGACTGAAAAGATGGCACAGCAATTAAGAGTGCTTATTTCCCTTCCAGAGAACCTAAGCACCCACACTGCACAGCTCACAGCCACCTGTAACTCTAGCTCCAAAGAATCTGATGCACTCCACGGGCACCTGTACACACACGCGTGCACGCAC